ATGCACTTTGGCCTGCTTCTCCAATTATTTGCTTGTGTAAGAATGAAAAAGGTTTTCCCGCAAAAACATGACCAGCTCACTAAATCAATTGTTTCCGGTTGCATTTATAGCTATGATTTCTTGGATTTATACTGGGAATTTATTTTTACTAATTTATTTTTCACTTTTTCTAATTATGTAATTATGTAAGCTAACTTTTCATGTTTATGTATGTGATGTCTCACTGTGTTATTTTTCCTTCCTCTTCTTTTTGAATTAATGTTAAATAAGATACAGTCCAGATTGTTGAAATACTTTTATTTCCATCACGGTTATAACAACAAATTTGCTGGATGCCCAAATTAACAACATCAATCACTGGGGAAACAGGTTGTGAATCTTTTGTGTTACATTTTGGGGTTTGAGGGATTGCTTTTTGTTTTTGCCAAATGTAAAATGAAACCAGATGCTGCAGCTTTAGTCTGTTATGCTGATTTAGTAAAAACCATTTTTTTTACATATATTGCTTGCTTTCTATGCTTCTGTGAAATTTTTTTCTAAACCTTTTGTGAACCTGAAGTACATTAAAAATAGTGATTTTACAAGCTTGTATTGAAAAACAAAGTGTCATAGGGAACATTAAATACATTTGGTCAAGAATCTTATTAGAGAAAGGGGTAGCAAGATTTAATTACCACAAAACAATAGGCAGCAGGATTTTTTAAATATCTTTTGGAATGTCACTGCTTTCCTTTTAAATGGAAGTTCTAAGCATTCGTGACGATTTTTTCATCTTCCGTTTTCCCATAGGAAATAAAGCATGTACAAGGATATTTAAAGTTTCAGAGGACTGTTCTTAAAATGATGGTTTTGATAACTAGTTTTGTTTTAAAAACATTTTCCCATAGGAATATATTGTGGAGGAGAGGGATCACACAAAATATATTTATTGCTTCATCTGGGGTCTTACAAGCTTAAGGGAATCATTCTGAATGAGTGATCATTCTGGATGCTTCCATAGTTCAGAATGTCTTCATTCATTAAAAATAAAAGAAATAACAGTATACATAGGACTTGAGACCAGTTCTCTGAAAATGAAGATCTACCCCAGTATTGGATCCATCTTATGGATGCCAATGACACATGTCTGAGGGAAAATACATAAGCTTGACCTCTGTTACACCTTAAAAGTTTGGGCCTGTTATTCGCCTACAAAATAGGTATGTGTATGTTTTTCGCTTTTGTAGGTAATGGCTCTGATAACTTGATACATACATAAATCAGCATGAGTTTAAAACTAGACTGCACAGCTTTTATGGTCGGTAGGAAAAGGCATAGTATAACACTAAGGCTTGGCCTAGTCTGTAGCCAAGACTCCATACAGGAGCTCTTCCATTAATGAGCTGTATGACCACAGACAGGCAAGTCACAAAAGGGCTCCGTGCAGCAGTTTCCCTGTCTCTGAAGTGAAGGTGGTACTACTTCCTCTAACTACCTTGCAGGATTGTGAGGAAAGTAGTAGCATAACTGTACAAGCGCTTTGAACATAAAAGTTATACAAATAAAAGGTATTATGTGAGTAAAACATCTTTGAGTGCAGAAGTTATTCCAGTTTTAACATCAATAGCCAACTCTCATTCCCATTATTTTATTAAGTGAAATATTAGGACAATAAATACCTTCCTGAAAGGTCAGGTTTATAACAAAAATATATGTGTACCCCTTGCTCACTGTTTATTTAAGCATGCTCACATTTTAACAGAACACTGGTATTGAAGGCTTCCTACACCAAACTCCCTGAAAGCTAAAATATTCTACAGCATATACTTGAAACAGTCCCCCCAGTGTATAACCATGTTTCATCTAGTAAAAAATACCTTGCCATTGTTAATCTGGGAGGTAGTTTCTGTAACTGGCAGGTGCTTATGGATTAAATCATGATACCCAAATGTGCTTCTGAAACTAAGGCATTTGAAAGAGCTGTAGAAATAATGCAAAACTTTGGTTTCATAAGACTCTATTCATGTTTTAAGATATTTAACTGTAGATCTACAATTATGGAAAGCTCAGTAATGCTGCTATTTGTAAAATAATACTTTTAATGTAGCACAGTATTTTTCTATCTGCTAGCAGAAGCAGTAAATGTGTCATGGCTGTACAAGGAGGCGACACTTCCAACAGCCTAGAGTATAGTGAAGTGCAGGCTTCAATGGGAAAAGCTGTATTGTATTACATTATTGATGTAATCTTGCTGCCATGCTATGTTATCAATAGCTTAAAAGTAATAAAGATTACTACACAAAACAATTATCTTCATTTGATGACATCTAAGCAAAAAGGCAGTCGCCTACATCTCTGGAATTATTGTCTGGTCTGATTCGGTCATACAAACAAGCTAACAAAGTCCACTTCTAAACAAAACTGCAAAAGTATTAATTTTTTACAGTTGTTTATAAAATATATGTATGGATGTGCTTTTACTGGTTTTTTAGATAAATTACTGGGTTAGAGAAAATGAGCAATACTTTAAGCATTTTCCCATCATTAATATGTTACATTTCTTAATATCAAGCTTCATATTCTTAAATATCATAACTAGTTGAAATATTATGGATATTTTGTGATTCAAAGAAAGAACACAACCTAAAGGGTGTAATGTCACGTTCTAAACTAATACATGAATTTTTTAAAGACAATTGGAAAATATTTCACTCTTGCTAATAGTAACATAAAGAATAAAATTTTAAGTTCCCTAAAAGTAAATTTTAAAATATTTTGTCCTAATTTTTATATTGAGATAACAGTTTTTCTTACCAAAAAGAAGAGTGGAGATTCCTCTCATGCTTTCTGAATCCCAGATACCCTTTAACATCTAATTAGAATTGTGTAGACCCTTAGCCCTGGCAGCTGTATGCACGCACACCACTCAAAATGCCCCTAGTTTTAAGGGTCTTTCAGAGCTGCCAGGCCCTGGCTGGACATTTTAATTATCTTCATCAGATAGTTATTTGTTCACAGCAATCAGAATAGTGAATTAAGAGATTCAAGGATAACTTTTTCCACGTTGACATGTTACAAAGAGTGATTAAAATATACTGTGAATATTTCAATTAAAATTTTTCAATAAAACACATTGCCATTAATGCCCCTCAAAATACTCCGCCTAACTTTGAACACACTTATCCCATCCTTCTTGCCACTTTCTGAAGTAGTTCTGGAAGTCCTTGTTTCTGAGTGTATTTATGGAGTGTGGTAAGAAATATGTTCAATGTTGCTGCTGAGTGTCATCCAGAAGAAAGGCTCATAAATACACTATGATGTGTCCTCATCCACTGTGTGACTTCTGACTCAGCCCCAAAGTCAAAATGACCATGACAGGTGAATGTTTTGAAATGATTCAGGACATTGAAGCAGCCACAGCAGCACAACCAAATAGACTCATGGAAAAGGACTTCGAGAACTGCTTATGACAGTGGCAAGAATGATGGGATGTATTCAAAACAAGGGAGAATATTCTGAAGGGATTATGGTGATGTCTTTTACTGTAATCGTTTTTTATTTAAACACTGTATCTGTCACAGCCCATACATAGTTCAGTTTTAATCAAAATGTAGAAAGCCAAAAAGTATGGTTCACACTGGCCCACAGTGACCTTTACCTGATGCCTGCCAGCACAGAATAGTTTTTAATTTTTTTTAATATCCAGGCAAAATGATACCTTATGCACTTCACTCCAACAACAGTTGGTTTATGAAAGAATACAGACAGGCACAGTACAGTGTTCAGAAGGTTTATTAAGTAAATTAGCTAAAGCATGACTAGCACAGATACACTTAGCATTCAAAAGAAAGGTGATATTCATGGCTACCTCGTTAAAATTTTTGTGTGTGTATTACCTGGTGAAAACAAAACCATTTCTATTCAAAAAATAAATGTTCAGAGAGCTGTTTTTTGTTTTGATACATAATTATAAAATTTTCAGTCCTGCTAATGCAGAATGTTAGCATATAAAAGACCTTACCATTTTTTCCCCCTCAGATACAACATAACTTTTGCTCTCCAAACAGTTCTGAAAAATTCATCTATCAGTAATCCTAGGGATCAGTCAGCAGGCATGCCTTTGCCAGTCATTCTTACAGAACCTGAAGCCTTAAAGGCAAAAATAAAAAGAGAAATAAATTATACAGTATTGGGGGCAGGCAGAACCACAAACCATCTCCAATTTATAGCACATTATTTTTTAAGACCATCCTGTAGACAGAAGTAAAAAAAAAATCCTGCTTTTTTATTTTAGCCATGTAAGAGTTTTTTAGAGTCATCTTTCATACTTGTAATTGTCCCATGTTACTAAGCAAGTAGGAAGCTTGTTTGCTTCAAACACACTGCACTTGGAAATCACAGAAAAACTTCATAAAGCAAAAGTCAATAAAGCAAAATTAGTCACTTTCCATAATAGTAATAAGATTAAAGAGTATTCTAAAGTTCTTTGCTCCTTGATGTTCAAGTTAATACAAACACAATTTTAGCTTAACAAAACTGACATTAGGTGATTTTTGTTTATGAATATGGAACTGCAGAATTAAATATTATGTCAGACATATTCCACACTATTCACATTCCAATCTTATCTCATACCAATGTAAACTGACTATGTTCACTAACAGTATTTGCTGGTACACTGAAGACATCAATGTTGTCATGCCTGGAAAAACTACACTACCCAAGTAGCACACAAGATGACACAATAACATGTTTAGATGTTTGGTTTTTCTCTTCTGCCTGGGAAAAGAGGTATGTCCTGATCACCTTTTTATCTGTTTTGCTAATATGATTAAAGACTATTTCATTCCTTCATCCTTCTTTAAAATTTGTTTTCACATTTATGTGAAAGACTTTCAGGAGTTTAGAAAATAATAGTTTCAGACAACCCAAAATTCTAGATCTCTAGAAAAAACACTTGGATGACCTGCAGACAAGTCAGGTTATACTCTGATTTCTTCAAGTTACGGTAGCTATTATATTTGTAAACTTTTTTCCTAAAACTTGAACTACGTGTAGGTAACCTTTACCACCCTTAACCTTGACAGTGTAAGATATATATACTATTTTCATCCAGTAAGATGATCGGATGTGCATCCTAGAGGGAAAGCTTTTCATATCTATACATTTGGTACTTTACTCTGCTTTTGCAACATTTACTGTTTTCCTCCTGTTGCTGCCAAACATATGACCTGTAAACATGTAATTTACCACTATCCCTTTCCAGGTAGGTGATTACATAGAAAACTGATGCCAGTGAATATCTGTGGACAAATCCAAAAGATGACTGACTTGTGTTTTTGTCCTCTGCACTTGAGATAACTTGCTTTTAACTCATAAATATATTGATAGTAAGTACAAGTTAAATGACATGCAGTGTCGCTACATAACGTGCTGTCTTATGTGATTCTGTTTTTCAGATTTCTTTCTAGTTTCTTGTTGGAAGAGACAGATAATGTGTGCTTTATCACTCATTACCAGTATTCAGAAAAAAATATATTTTTGTCCAAGTGTTTGTGAATGTAAGTTAAAAAATTATATTTGATTTGGATTCAAATATTTATAGATTTACAATATACCTATTTCTTCAAAATATATTGTATGATATTTAATAAAATCAAACACATAAAATAAAGTTTTCAACACTATACAAACCCCTAGAAAAGCTTCTTTTTCTTTATAAGGCTGTTGGCAGTCAATCATAACCATGGAAAAGAAATAATAACCTTTGGTTGTTGCACTCTTTTGCCAGGGATGGATGGTATGACTAAGACAGCTCCGAATGAGTCATTTCACTGGAAACACTTTTACACAATTAAACACTTTGATGATTTTTGAGGGTCTCAGTCACTTTCAGATTCTTCATCATCTCCTATTGGATATGACTGGGTATTATTCTGAGTGTACATTTTTGTTTTCATGGGACAGTTGTGATCCATTAGAATAGCCTGTAAGAGAGCAAATTGCAAGTACATTAACTTGTAACGATAAGACAGTTTTAGCCTATTGTCTTGAAGGATTACTACTTTGAAAAGTCTGTGTCATTATCTGCCATTAACTAGCTATTGAAGCCATTGCCAAGTGCCTGACCTAGAAGACCTGGAGTTGTCTGCTAAATGAAAATTCCAGGCAACAAGAAGATAGCAGAATTGCCCTCTGCAGTATTTTCATTGTACCTGTTGCGGGGGCAAGAGTCAGTTACTCTGGAGCAAGAGGTATGTTAGATTTAAAGATAGTTATACTTACAATTTTGGAAATAGGGTGGGGGAGAGGATCCTAGAGGTCATCGGTCCAACTTCTGTTTACAGATTTTATTGCTGCCGCACTTCATGAGGACGTGTGAGGAGAGCCCTCACTTGTCTATTTACAGCCTGCCCTTAAGAGTATTTTAAGACCATATCACGATGCCCCTTAGATATTTCCCTGAGGAAATATCCTGGGCCTTTGTCTTTTCTTAAATGTGTTATCTAGACTTCCCAGATACTGGCTGTCATACTCTAGTTCAAAGGTATGACGTGTGATTTAAAAGTTTGTAAAAAGTTTATTATAGAGAACATTGCCATTAGTCCCGCTCACTTTGAACACACTTATCTCATCATTCTTGCTACTTTCTGAAGCAGTTCTGGAAGTCCTCTTCACATATTGAGATGCACTGTTGTACCTCCCTTGGTGTTCTGAACTGATTCAAAACATGTACCTTTCATGGTCATTTTGACTTTAAGGAAAAGCCAGAAGCCACACAGTGCCAGAGCCAGTGAATAAAGTGTGAGAACACAAGTGTGAGAACACACTTTATGAGCCTGCCTTTCTGTTGGGTAGCACTCAGGAGCAGCATTCACTGAATTTTTTTCTCATACCTTGTAAGGACATGAAAGACAACATACAGAATTGCTTCAGAAAGAGGCAAGAATGATGGGATAAGTGTGTTTGCTGTGAGGAAAGGTATTCTGAGGGAGATTAATGACAATGTCTTTTACTGTGATAAATTTTTAAATTTAAACATTCACAGTATTTCTCAGTCACCCCTTGTATGCTCTTTTATAAATACACTGAGAAACACAAAAGTCTGATGCCTTCTTTTGTTACTGAAAATTAGAAAAGAAATCCAGCATCTAGTCTGATACCTCTGACATTTATCTTGCCGGGAATATGCAAAGCGTTTTAGATAAAATGCCTCAACTTCACAAAAACCCTGGGTGGTAAACTGAGAAAACACAAAGGGACACATGTCTACAAATGGACTGCAATGTGTAAAAGGTGTCTGGTCTTATCAGCCTCCAGCCACAGTACCCTGGCTGGAAGATCTTGCAAAATCACCGGCAGAGCCATCCAGGAAAAGGAAGCTGTGATCTTCAGGCTACCTTCTTTCCTGCTCTGGGAAGTCGCGCCCTACCTGTAAAGATAATTCTTCAAGCTAGAAAAGCAGCAGCCCTGCTAAAAGTCAGCTATTCGCTGGGTATTTTGAGGGCTAATGGCTGCAATGTAATTGCCTTATCACAGGAACAGTTGTCCTCAAATGGCAGGGTTGGTATTTCTTATACTTGCAAAGGGACTTGAATAAAAAGGGAGTTTTTCTGTCTGTATTGATAACCTGATTATAAAAAAAAAAAAATCCACCAAACCAAATAGGAGAAACACTCAAGTGCTCACAAACTAATTCATGATTCCTTGACTTGTGATCCATGAAAACAGCCTCATGTCTTTCCATATCAAACAGCTGAAGTGCAGACACCTCGCTACCAGGATGCTCCTAATGAAAGAATTCTTTGCTCAGGGTTGCACGCCTTCTTCTGGCTCTCACATCCCCGCACTTGGCCACTGTTAATCCCAAACACCAGTGCTTTCCTACACTGAGTTTCTCAAGTGCGCACTGATCAATTCTCCATGGCACACGCTGTCCTGCCTGCCTGCCTCCTTATCAGGTGCCACTGGATTCCACTGGCTTTCTTCCTACTCTGCTTGCACAATGAGCAGGCAGCAGCGGCTGCCTGCCACCCTCAAATGTTACCATTATGCCAAATAAATGGCATCCTTCAATTATGAACAGCAATTATGGGCAACAAGATGCACATTTTCTCAAGATTTTAATGATTTATCTTTCTAGGCACCTATTAAGGATTGTGACATTTTACAGTGGAAGTGGCTTTCTGGCTTTCTGTCATTCTGCCTCTGCCTTTCAGGATTGTCTCTTCTACTTCCTTCAGCATTTTTTTTAAATGAACTAAAGTACTGGTTTCAGTGGAGAAGGAGGGGTACTGAGCCTGCCTTTGACCATCACTTTGTGCAACACAGTGGTATCTGGCTGGGCAAGTAGCTCCCCGGCTCGTCCTCTGATCTCATTCCTTTCTTGCACTACCTCAGATAGGCCATCATGCTGCCTGCCACCCACAGACAGATAACCCTCCACCCCTGACATCTGCTGCCCTGGTGAGCAGTGCTGGGCCAGCAGTTCTGGGGTCTGGACAGCAAAAGGAAGCTCTCATGTTGCAGAGGGAAGATGGGGAAACTCAGGTGCTGCTGGGCAGACAGAGTGAGTCAGAGCATGGTTAAAGCAGGAAGAATAAATGGGTGATTCTGGAGAGGGCCACACATTTACTAAGCCAGACATAGGCCAAACACTCCGCTGGGACTCTACCATTTAATCCACACTGCACCTCTGTGAGGAGGAAGCAGACTCACCCAGCCCTGTGTAGGGAGGGAGTTGAGAAAGCAGCTGCTGCCAGGACTGTACTGGCCCTTCGCTCTCCATCCCCCAGAGTCCTGAACAGCCCCTGGGAGAAGCACTTGCAGGTGATTATGTGTATATATAATCTATCTTTAAAACCACTTTTGGAGAAAAGCATCCTTTGCCGGACTGTTCAGGAAATGCCAAAGCATTAAAACCCCTTCAGTTCAGCTGTCAGACAGGACTTCTGATGTCCTTCCAAGAGACCCAGGAGCAAGCCTTACATCTCCTCATGAACACAAGCACCATTCCCCAGGCTCATCTCATTCATCCTTAATCTATGACCCTCTTCTGTCAGCTGGACGAGTGTATGTCAGCATTTGGTACTTAAAAAATCAGCAACACCACTCTAGCAAGTATGAACAATAAACGGAAACACTGCAATTCCTTTTGCTGGTCAGGTAAAGGCCTAAGAAATGGTAAAATGATTCATACATGTCAAAATTCAGATTCAGAATCAACAGGTTTGAACCTATTCAAAAGAGGAATACTTTATTCTCTCTATCTATGTGATTCTCGTTATGCAGTTATGAATTCAACGGTTTACATCCCCACACGTGAGCCCCAGGGTACATGTATGACGGTTTTCCATAAAAATTTAAAACAAGCTCTAGACTCTTACATGCACTGAGGAACAAGACATCAACCATTACTAACTGTTGTAAGGGTGAGAAGAAAAGCAAACAGGACTACAAATGACTAATGTTGAGAGGCAGAGAAATGATGCTCAAAGTTTTCAATAACCATAGAAAATTAAATTGAGCTATCCTAGGTTCATACTTAATTGACAAAGAAGAGCTATACTGATGCTAATCTGTGAACAAAAATAATTGCATCCTTCAAGTTTAAAACCAATGCTTGAAAGACAGTAAAAACAAGTAACTGCCCTATGTGGTACAAATTAAACACAAACTCTCACCATTTATATCTGGGGGTTTCTGCCCAAAAGGAGAAGAATATATTCTAATATTGAGCCAAAAGAAAATTACCCATATGACCCTACTAAAATAATCAAGAAACGCTTTGTTGCATCCTAAATCTTTCTCACCATTTTTTCTTCCTTGGCGGGTGGACTTCGAAGAAAAAGACAAAGTGGAGCAAAAAGAATATCAATGATCCCGATAATTGTCATGAGCCATGGAAAGCCAATTGCCTTTGCAATAGCACCTCCAGCTGAAGGACCTTTTGGGAAACACAGAATTAGACAAAGCTCTTTCCAAATGTCTTGTCAACAGAAAACACAAGGTGCAATATTTTTTTAGGATGTATCGTCTGTCCTGCATTGAGGTAAAAGGTTGCTTTGAAACCAACATTCTTACCTATAGCATACCCCATACAAAATGCCACATCTGCAATGGCATACACACTCCCATAGACAGACACGTGCCGAAGGTCCACCAGGTAGCCCATGATAGGCATCATCGATGAATCCACCATCCCTGTAGGCAGTCAGGAACACAGCACATAGGAAACTGATGTAAACCAAGAATGGGCTGCTTGTCAGGGAATGTCCTAAACTCACTGCCCTGTCAGCTCTTCCCCTTTGTCATCACCACCTGCCAGACTCCTGGCAGACCCGTGACAGCAAACCTTTCACTGAGGAAAGTTGGTGGAAGGTCTCTGGAGATTGGGAGTAGAACCTGAGACCATGTGCTGAATCCTTGCTAGGGCACCATTTGCTGCTCTCTGCTTTGCCTCACCTTGTCCTCCATTGTTGAGTGGCCTTAGGTTTAGGTGAGGGTGCCCAGTCCTCTAGCAACTCATCTTGCAGTTCTTCAGATGCAGCAGGGTTGCAGGCTACTGGCTGTGTGGGTCCCCGGGATGCTACCTGCTGGTGCTCTACTGATTCTCCATTTTCTCACCCACTTGTCCCTTGCTATGGGGCACCTCACACACCTCATCCAGCCCCTTCTACACTGGCCTCACAATTAGATCATGAGAGTTACCAATGTGGAAAATGCTAGGGAGGATCAGAGAACCAGAACACAAAAGAGTCTCAGACATGATCTGGCCCTACTCAGGAAAATAAACCTAAAGCTGTTGGCTCGTTTAATTGGCTAAAACCAACAACAACAGAGACCATTATTAGAATCTCTTTAACAGCAGGGGGCGGGTAGCATAAAAAGTAAGTATGCATGTTCAGAGTTCTGGGTTCAAATCCCTGGCTGGGTGAACATGCTCATGCCTAACCTCTCCAAACACTGCTTCCCCTCTGTAAAGAATGCTGAGTACTGGCTGTTTGGCCAGACCTGCAAACACAACCAGTGCAAGACTTAAATGTTAGTTCCCTCCCCTCTTAGGTAGCAAAGACAGGTAGATGAGGAAGATTTCTTTCTCTCAAATAGTATTTGCTGAACACAGTGCTGGGGACAAAGGAGTAAACAAAACATGGGAGTTGAATGATAACCATAGACTTGAAGAATGAATCACTGCCGGGACTGATACTGAGGTGTGCGGCCTGGGCACACCAGGAAATCCTAACCCCATCTGGGAGTCAGAAGAGGCTCTGTTTGTACTCTCTGCAGTACCACTCCAAGATTAAATTCCTGCCTTTTTGGTGTGGCAGATTTGGCATTTACTTTTACCATGATCAGTCAGTATTTTGTAAACGAGAAACAAAACTATACTATTCATCCAAATAATAACAAGATTTTTCCTAACATTGAGACCCATCTCCTTTCCCTGTGAAAATTCCTGCAGCACAGTGGTCAGCACTATATTGGTCTGATTTTTCTTTACCACACCCTATAAAAAAATAGGTGATATCTTTGTTCACTGAGCTGGGCCTCAGAAAATGGGCTTCACACGAGGAAGTACTATTTGCCCAAGCTTGCCAGCACCACTTCATTTAGCTTCTCTAAACACCAGGGTTTTTTAAATACTTGTTTCCAGGAAATAAATGAAGAGTATGTAGAAGCAAGTATTTTTATATGCATGATCTATAGGCTGTCACTGATCTACACAGCTGGCTTCTAGAAATCTGGGACAAGTAACTAGAGTCTATTTACTCTAACAGAGGAAAAGAAAATCTCCCCTAGAGGGAAAGCAGTTTCACAGTTAGGCACAAGGTTCAGGGGACTCACCAATTGCAAAACCAACTCCAAAGTTGGGTGCGATGAGACCATAAATGTTCTTTGCAAAAGGAATCTGTAAAAGGATATAGATGTTACACTAAAACAAGATATCCAACTCTAAATAATCTTGAAAAAGTCTTTAAAATCTGAAGGCTTTGAGGAGGGGGGTGATCTTAGTACACTTGTTCCCTTCTGAGGGAAACAGGAGCCGGAGGAAGGATGGGGTTTGCAATCCTAGTTTTTTAAAGACCAAGCTCAAAACAGATAACTACTATGAAACCTGCCATCTATGAAAAATCAGCCCAGACCACCCTCAATTTATGGACAAGAATCCTCACGTGGGGCAGGTATTGGCCACTGGTTGAAGATGTTTAAATGTGAAGAACATCTTGCTACTATCTTGGGCTAGTTGCCCCAAAAGTAAATTATGTAATAAAACATCTTAAATAGTTTCTGACATAGAATACAACTACATCCACTGGAGAAGCTTGTCCAAAGGTGTTTAAGAGTGATAAAAAGCACTAAGATAAAATGAAAGACATAATAAAATTAAATATCAACGAACTCACACTGTTGTAAAATGTTGCTTGGTAAGTCTTTACCCAAAACAAGTTTTAGTCCCACATTGTTCCTACTTGTCAAATACCATCATTTTTACTTACACATAAAATGCTGACTCCAACAATTATCATTCCTAGAAGAGCACAAAGCCACCTATCAAAAGAAAAAGCACATCAGTAAATGAACACTTAGGGGTTTTTTTTTCTCTGTCCAAATTTTCAATGGAAATCAAAACAATTACTTGTAGCAGCTAAGGAAGAAATACTTCAAATATTTTAAAAGAAGTACATTATTATCAGCATAACAGAAAGAATGCTGTTTTCATTTAATCTTACCTCCCCATTTTGTGTGCAAGTATCCCAAAAATATTGGTTCCAATGAGATAAGAGATGCTTGCCGGCAAGAAAGCAATGCCTGTAAATTTATGAAAAGGACACCTTATCAGTACTGATAACAGTCACATGTTAGAAAAACTAATAATCATAGACACCACTGCGTTGATTACAGCAGATGAAATGAAGCCCTGGGGCCAGCTAATATCCGGCGGCTGACAGCTCCAGTCTGGACCCCACACCTTTTGTCCATCCCACAAAGCTGCCGAGCAGCTCTAGAAATGAAAACTATTTCTCTCTCAGTGGCTTCATCTCACTCCCAGCTCTGTCCGTGGCAGGCTTTACACATGAACCAATGTGTGGTCCCCTTCCCACAGCTCCTAACTGGGAGCCCAGCAACCAGCACACCTAAGTGTACCAGGCATATCCGTGTCCTCCTCCCCTGTATGTCCCTGTGACCGGAGTAAGACAGGGTCACTGAGAGAATTAGGGGAAATTAAGATAAGCAAAAAGAAAGCAGTTGAAAGCATCCAAAGCCTACCACTCAGATAATCATTGCTGTTATTTTCCCTTGTGAGTTTATACATATGTGTGTGGACAGACATGCTTTTGTGCAAATGGGATTACTGTATGGGATACTTACTTCTCTACATCTGCTTTTTTTCAGTTAACTCTTATAAACATCTTTCCATGTCAAAAAAACAAAAAAGTCTCCACGGCGATTTTTTTTGTGGAAAAGTCATATGTAGCTCAGTTTCATGTCCAAGGTTTGATGGTCTCCCAGGGAGGGAGCTTGCATCCCCTGGGTTCTGATAAGCAGGGAGCCATTTCCTGCTGGCTGGGGCAGCGGCTCCCTTGAACAGTTCCCACACTGAATAGAAAGGCCTGGCTGAATCAGACTAGGCTTGGCTACCAGGAATTTGTCCACCTCAGCTCCACTGTCTTTTATTAGGACAATGGGACAATCTCTTTAGGAGAAACTTTTTCAAACTCTTAGTAATTTTAGTATTTTTTTTCTTGAAATCAGATACAACCAATTGGATTCAAAGATGCATGGTAGCTACTCGATGGTCAGCAAGTAACTGCTACACTCAAAATGCAGAGGACCTGGGGCCTTTTTGGTCCACAGCATACAAAGGGACAAATGTGATCTTGTCCCTTTAAGGATAAGCCATCAAATACAGAGAAAGGTCAAGCCTCCAGGAGGGCAGGGACTTCAAAATGATGGGTTCCATACGCAAAATCCAAAACCAAATCTTTCTAGATCTGGAAATTCTGGGAAATAATAAAGAGCAATCGCATTTCATGTTCTAGGGAATCATTTCCATCACACTTAACAATACGTAGTAGCCAGATAATTACTCAGTCTAATCTGATTCAGCAAACATTTACTGACAGCCATGTGCCCAGCACAGCACTGACGTGCAGCAGAGACAATGACAACGTGACTCTTGTCACCATGGAAAGTGCCTTTTTTAAAGAAAAAAATCAGACACTATTTGAACCAAGACATGGCCTCCTTAAGAATGTAACAAAAGTCCAGGCACCGCACTCCAGGAACCCTGAGCCTACAGCTGGCAAGCTTCCCTGAGAACACAGTATTTAAACCTGAAGGGTGAGTAGCAGACCTCCTGACTCTAGAGACAGAGCTGGTCCGGATAGTAGAAATCAGGTGGACCATGTCTCACAATGAGAGACTCGAGGGGGCAGGGACTCATAAATGAATGAAGAAAGCAAATCATACGGAAGATAACCATGCTGGTGCACGATGAAGAACTACTGACATTCAGCCTTAGAGTCAGGGAGACAAAATGAAAACTGGAGTGGAGTGGGGTCTGTGGTGACTTCAAAGGCCCAAATCTCATCTGAGAAGGCAGCTGCCACTCTCTCTAGCCAACTACTGCCCAGGGGACTGCAGTTCCAGTATTAGAAGATCTGGTTTTTCTACATAAGCTGGAACTCTGGGTTCTTGTATGAAATCTCTTGATTTTTAAATGTTGGCAATTCACTCTTTAAAAAGATAAACCCTATACCGGTCAACACAATTATCAGCCAACCAAAAAAAAAAAAAAACCTTCATAACGGCTGAGAATGTAGCTCCGTTGTAGAGGGTTATAGAGCTGCTGCTTAACATGCATAAGGCCCTGGCTTAAATCCTAGTGCTGAGAAAGAAAAATAAATAAACTGCTTTGGAGCTGAACTTGGCCCACAGACAGCCTGGTGGCTTAAGCTCTGGCTAAAGGAAGCAGCTCACAGAGAGCCCCTTGGAACTCCAGGCCTCCTGCTGAGTCCTAACTCCAGGGTTGAGCCCAGGCAGTGGCTCCAAAGCCGAAGCTTCAAGCAAAGACACAGTCAAGCTCCAGTGGAAGCCACACTCTTCTACTCTGAGTGGGGTGGCGAGCTCACACACGGAACCCAGAAGCAGGCTGACCTTGCTGTCCACGGACTGCAGGGCTCTATGGGCTCCAGCTCCATCTCATGATTCTTCAGCAAAAAGCACTGGATTAGCAGATTTGAAAAACTTGCTACCTGCGGCCTGAGGGGATCACTTTCATCCATAAAGCCCAAGAAATTGCCTTGGCTCCCACTGTGCACACCTCACAGGGTACTTTCGAGGATCAAACAGTAAAACGCATCGTAAGGCCCTTAGCAAACAGCACTTCCAGTTCAGTCTCAGAGCTGTCACGATAGGCAAGCCTACCTCCTCATTCTCACCCTGGTCTGCTGACCTTGCCCAAACTGCAGTGGGCTTCCAGTGTGCAGGGACTCCCTCACCTGCCCCCACAGCCCCTCTTCATGCATGGACTCCCAGAGTACAGCTGGCCATCCGGAGAAAAGATCGTGTTTGAAGACACTCACTTCATGGAGCTGCAGGTGCCCAGAGAGGCCACCATCCCTTGATAAGCACAGGATGCTCACCCAGTGACATCAGGCAGCCTGCTCTGCTATCTTACATGTGGCTCAGACTCCTGACTGACCTTAAAGACTTTATAAAGGAAGCCTCAGGCTCTGTCTGCAGAGGATGAGCAGCTTAAGTACCCTGTACATGACCAGGACATATTCAATTAGGATCGTAAGTCGGTTAAGTGGAGACACCAGAGACATTAGAAAAGCTTTGCAGCCAGGAGGGTGCAGGGAGCAAATGCAGGGCACCTGGCTGACCTGTGTGCTCCACCTGGACTGACAGGCACCTCTGAGAGCACCTGAGGCCAGGTTACTGAGGACCGGGAGGAAGGAGACACTGGGAAACACTTCCTCAAGGGGCAGCTGCCGGAACTGGCAGCAAGACCAGGAAATGTCCTACTCCTTTGCAAAACTGCTCCACACTAACCAAGTGATAGGAAAAAAGCACCCTTCCTGGAAAGCAGTGCGCTTTCTGCAGCAGCTCCCAAGGTTTCCTCTTCTATCCTGACTGCCAGGAAGTTCAGAGCTGCCTTTTCCACCCAAGAAATAGCCTTTCATTTAGTTCCAAGAGTCCTTCCTCCTTCTTACTGGAGGTTTGCTTTTTGTTTTGTGACATAATTCACACCCTGTAAAATTCACTCTTTCAGGGTACAGTTTGGTGGACTTTATTGTGTTCCAAGGTTGTGTGATCATCACCACTAACTGAATCCAGATTTTCATCACTCCACAAAGAAAAGTCATACCCACTAGCAAGGGGTCTTTCCCCATATGCACCCCATACCCCCAGGCCACTGGGGCTTTTTAAGGATTGTTTGAGGAAAGAATGCAAAATCAATGCAGAACTGGAAGGGAATGATTGATACTCAGGCTGGACCACATGCAGTGAGGTAGGCACAGCAGGGGAAAGTCTAAACAGGAGGCGCTTCTGACCAGGCACCCTGCAGAGGGCTAATGCCAGAAGGAAATGCAGGTCACCTGCAGAAAAGTTAGGGGCACTAAAAATGCCAGAGCAGGTCAGAACTGAGAAACTCCCTACAAAGATAGCCATACGTGCATTGCAGGAACTGTGAAAAGAAAATAAATCTCTAGAACAGATAATCGATAAATTCTTAAATAAAAAGGGGTATGTGTGGGGACCGGCATTCTGGATATTATGCAGTCTTCTAAAGGCACAGTGATTAATTACTGAGGTCCTGACAGAGGAAAGACATGGCAGGTCAGTAGGACAGAAGAGAGAATCCAGAAACAGGCCCACATGCTCATCCAGGGAATGACAGAGATGGGAATATCGGATGTTCTCAATAGGAAATGGCCCTGGGATGAAAGCTGGTCATATAGAAAAAACAAACAAAACTTACATCCCACACACCTTGGAACGAAATTAATGTCATAGAAGTCCAAAATTCTAATGTAAAAAAAAAATGTACTGTCTTAGTCACTTTCCTTGTCTCTGAGACACAGTATCCCATTCCTACAACTTAAAGGAAGAGAGATTTATTTTAGCTCACCATTCTAGGTCACAATGGGCTGGGTCCAAGGAGAAACAGGATGGAGGCAAGGGTGCTCAGCCAGGAGGCACAGAGTGAAGGGAGGAGCGAGGGAAGGAGATGACCCTTCCGGGTCACATCCCGTGAGCTACCGCTTCCAACCAGACTCCACCTGCTAACAGCACATCCAGCTCTGCATCTGTCAGTGGATCAGTCCACTAAATGAGGATCCCATGATCCAATCACCTTCCAAAAGCCCAACCTCTGAACACATAAGCCATCCAGGGAACATTCTAGATCTAAATGTATTGCAGGAAAACATATTTTTTAAAAAAACCATCTTGGGGGTTGGGGATTTAGCTCAGTGGTTCCGCCACCTGCCTCACAAGCACAAGGTCCCGAGTTTGATCCCCGGTACCAAAAAGAAAAGTAAAAAACAATCTTGGCATGGTAAAGACCTTTCTGAGCTAGATCTGAAAGGACAAAAGGGAAGACTGCTATGTCTGACTAATGGCATTTTACGTGTTCTTAGTATCAAACCATACCATATATAAAGTCAAAAGACATAGGAAAGAGCAGTATGTGTAAAACTTCTAGAACATAAAGGATCACGTTATATACACTGAACACTTACAATCAACAGGAGAACACTTACAATCAATAGATCATGTTATAAACATAAAGGACCATGTTATATACAAAAAAAACTTACAATCAATAGGAGAAATGCAGACAACTTGATAGAAAAATGGGCAAAGTATATCAATATGAAATTTACACTAAACAAAATATACACAGCTGATAAACTCTACAAACAGATGCTTAATTTCATTCAGTTATTAAATAAAATTAAAACAAGACCTCCTGAATGCATAACATTTCAGTCACTGGGAAAGACTGATAATAGCTGTATTAGTACACTAACAGCAGGTACTGACCGTCCCCTGCAGATCAAATCCCCAACTCCAGGAGGAATGCACAAGAAGGATATCCTCTGCAGGACAGTTTCTAATGGCAAACATTGGAACGAACCCAAACACCCAAAAGTAGGGATGGTTGAAAATTTATGGCAAAACCTTACAAGAGAACAACATATTAACTGTGAAAAATGAGTGATGTGCTCTGGTTAAACAAGGGAGACTGAATCTAGAGGTTTTACTCCCCCACACCAAACTCAACTGCAATGTGATAAAAGAGTAAATGGAAGTTCTAGACTCACATCCCACTCCCTCTCCACATGCCAGCACAGACTGACGGGGCCAGGAGAAGCACGCAGAGGGGACAGACGGGGGATGAACAGATCAAGGGCAGTAAGGGCAGACAGATAAGAAAATATAGAGGTCTGACATCCAGCTAAGTGGAGTAGAAGAAAATGAGGAAGGAGGGAGTTAAGTAATAATACCAAAAGTTTTCCTGGATCCAAAGAGATCCTCAAGTGAAAGGGCCGAGCCAGTGGACCAGAAAGACCACACTGCAGAGGAAGGCAGACCCCATTGCAAATCACCATGGCAGACACTCATAATTCAGAGAGGAAGAAGGTTGCCTGGGCTCCCAAGAAGGTCAGCAATGAGAACACCCCTGGGCTCCTCCCCTGCACCCCTGAATGCCAGAAGATGACAGAACAAGGTCTCCAAACTCTACAGGGAAATGATTTCCAACCAGGAATTATTCACGCAGTGTAGGGGATGTGCCTCAGTGATAGAGCACTCGCCTTGCCTGTGCAAAGCCCTGGATTCCATCTCCAGCACCACTAAAGAAAAAAGAAAAACAAAATGTATACAGGTAGCTAGATGTGGTGGTGCACACCTATAATCCCAGCTACTCAGGAAACGGAGGCAAGAGGATCAAACATGTGATCCTTGGCCAGCCTGGGCAACTTATGAAGACCCTAATTCAAAATTAAATTAAATTAAATTAAAAGAAAAGAAAAAAAATGGGCTGGAGAGGTAGCTCCATGATAGAGGACGCCTGGGTTTGATTCCCAACCCCCCCCCACACACACACAAATGCAAACTAAGTCAAGCAAGTGGAAGGTGAGGGTAAAGTTATTTGGTAATATGCAAGATTTCAGAGAACTTCGTTGGACAGGCACCCTCCCCAAAGCTGCTGGAGGGCATGGTCACTCAGGTTCCTTTCATCTCTGCCCAAGTCCGGGGGCTGGACCCATTAGTGCTACACAGAAAACTAAGAAAATGAAAAGACAAGGCAATGACTAATTCATTTATTAATAAGCCTGTAAAAAGAAAGGAAATGAATCACAGTATCTTACAAAGCCCTGTTTGGAACAATATTTACAATCACAAGCACGTCAATGCTGAACATCAAGGTAACAAAAACAGAGACCCATGGTCCTACTTATCTGTGGGGGATGCGTTTCAAAATCCCCAGTGGATGCTTAAAAATGCAGACAGTTCCCAACCTACACAAACTTATGATAAAATGTGATTTGTAAAACAGGCACAGTAAGAGATTAACAATGAATAATGAGATAGAAAGTAATTTAACAATATATTGTAATAAAAGGCAAATTCTGTGTGTGTGTGTGCCTGTCTCTTTTTCTCATGGCAATTTTACCTTTTTGCTTGAAGCATCTAACACAAATGATACAAAGCATGGAGCCCAAACAGACCCCAAAGCTGCCCTAGGCACTCTCCCTGAGAGCCAAACAGAAGTACTCACTTTACCATCCTGGCACAGCCAGCTCAGGAGGGCTACCTTGACAGGACCCACCCTGGGGACAAAGCTCCTAGAGTGAGAAGAGCCGCTCTGCTCCTTACCCAGCTGCCACTTCCGGGAACACATGGTCTCCATCATCCAGATGGGCAGGGCTGGCTCCAGCATGGCGATTCCCATGTTCGCAAAGCAGATAGAGCCTTAAGGAGAGGAAGAGGTTAGTGTACTTCCACTGCCCATACCCAGGGTCCTCAGCCATCTCCGAACACGATCAGACTCCAGGTGCCCCAGCTCAAGTATCCGGAGCTTCTCTACCTCCATAAGGAAAAAATAAACACCAAGCCAAAGGGTTGGCAAGGGGTGTGTTTCTATCATTATTATAACTTTAAACAAGTGGAATTTCAAAGTCATATGGTGTGGGACTAGAAGGAGCCTTAGAGATCGTTTGGTCTAATGCAACTAAGTTATTAATGAAAAGAGGGGCTCCAATTTATTAACGAAGTAAGTTGCTTGAGGCACCCAGCATCGAGGCAATTTCCAGACAACACATGGTGCTGGAACAACCTGAAACCTTGGGGATTAGGGTTCACTGTGCCGTGAAAACGGACATCTCTGACGCCCTGAGATGCCAGGGAATCCAAGGAAAATCACAGTGCTCTTGGTCCAGGTGTGCTGTGGAGGGATCCTTTCTAAATCAGCCCTCCATACAGGGTATCTATGCAAACAGCCACTATCACCCTGTTAAGCAGATGCTTTGTAAATACAGAACCATCTGGAAAAAGACACACGGCTGGTCCTCCATCCGTCATTCGGGAGTGTCCTGTGTTGTGCACCTTGAAACCTGTAATTTGCTAAACAAACTCAGGGAACACTGTGACCTTGATGAAGATGCAGGCATAATGAAGGGAGGTTTTTTCATTCTCTGTGACATTTACAGGCACAACACAGAAACGATTGGACTCCTCCCACAGCCCTTGCTTCTGAACCCCTCCCTCCCGAGAACTGGGGATGTTTGACAGAGTGTGGGATAGATCTTGCTATTCCCTTCTGTCAGAGAGCTTGCAGCCGGCACAGTCCTGCCCAGACTTATCCAAGCTTCAGGGAGTCGCATCTCTGGGACGTCATCCCCACACACTCTCATGACCTCCTAAGACCAGGGCTCTGAGGCATCCCAGCCCCAGTGCAAGAAGAGATCTGTGCACCGACTTTCCGGCCCTTGGGCCACATACATGCAGTCCTCACCAAATCCGGCAGCGAAGGGTAGAACCAGACCGGCCTGCAGCTTTGGAAGAGCCTGAATTTAAACACCCAAAGGCAGGGTAGCGCCCCCTTCTCCTAAGCTCCCTGACCCCTCCTGGAGGACCTGACCTCTGCTTTGATAAATGCACCCTCACTGGGTCTGATGCCAGACTGCAGAGCCGCCCAGTGAGCAGCACCCAGCCGTAGGGCTCCCAGCCTCACACCAGGGCCACCGCTGACCTCAGCACGCAGGCCCAGGCAGTGGCTACACGAGGCTGGTCCTTTGGGTCACAGGGAGGTGGCCTGCTGCCTCCAGGATGGTCTTTGGGGACAGTTGCTTGGATGAATATGACTCATTCCCCTTCCTTCCCAAGAGCGCAGAAACCCAAAGCCCTCTTGTAGCATGTTCAGGCCAAGAACCCAAAGACATGACCCTTCACCAAAGGGTGCTTCCTGTAAGCCTCCCCACTGCTCCACAGAGGCAGGCTCTCTGTAGGAGGAGCGGTGTCCTCTGAGCCCTCTGGGACTCTGTTGTCAGTCTTTATTCAGACAGGCCAAGAGGATTCAGAACGCCCACATAAGACCCTTGCCATGTGGCCACCAAATTCAAGGCCAAACAATGATGGGCTCTGACTCTAAAGCAGCAAGCCAGACTCCAAGCAAGCCTGTGAGGCAGGGCATCACGGTGGCATCCTGTGACCCTGGCCCTCTGAGGAGCAGGGTGCACACCATTTAGATTTTCCCCAGGTGAAAAACAGAAGACAACCTCGGCTGAGGTCAGAAAACAATGACAGAAGACCATTTCCTGAGACACGGAAGCTGTCTGCCCTTTATGTTCTCTTCAGCCCTACATTTCTGGCAACAAAATGGCCACTGGCACCCACCACTCACTGCCACCTCCCTCAAGTGGCCTCATCTGAGAAGGACCCGGGAGCCCCACCTGCAGCAATGAGGATGTAGGGGTCCTTCAGCAGAGTGGTTAGGGGCGTCCCCTTCTGACTCTGTCAAGCAAAAAAGAAAAAAGAAAACAGGTTAGAATTGTCACCATGGCCACTGGAAGCCCTCATTCCCAGGTGCTTACTTACCTCTGGCTGCACCCGGGATGGCTGGAGCACGAAGAGTTGAATCACTGCAAGGGAAAAGCACAGATGATCTCCCTTTCAGAAAGCAAGCATGGCAGGAGTCCATGCCCTCAAGAACGCCAAGGTCATGGCCACAGTGCCCACGGAGCCTCACTCACCTCCATCCAAGAGCACCAGGGCTGCCAGCACCAGGAAAGGAGCCGTCTTCCCCACAAATTCGTAGAGCACACTCCCAAAGGGGGGGCCCACTGCAGAAAGACAGGGGCCAAGCCAGTCCCGGTGGATGCCTCACAACACTAGAACCTCCATCTGTTTCTTGTGTTTCTCTTCACTTTGCTCAAAAAAAGTGGGAGGGGTCACCCTACATTCTTTTTAGTTAGCAGTAAATTGCTTGGCAACTTCCTCCAGGTGGGCTTTCACTTGAGGAACAGCCAAGGCGTACAGAGAATTCCCCTCTCAAAGGTGAGGTCCCAAAGAAATGAGATCCAGGTCACAGGGATGTGCTGCTTCTGGGGCTTGGGAAAGGCCCACTACGGCACAGGGGGAACCACAGGCTCCAAATGAAGGGAAAGGATCAGAATCTCCCCTAGGGAAGACATCTGTCCCCTGGCCTGGGAGATCTTCCAGAGCAGGTGGATGAAAAGTGGGAAGGTTCTCTCAGATCATAACACAAGAAATGTTTGAGAGGAAGGGCTCCAGCAGACCAATCCACTCAGCCCTTTGTTTCACACAGGGGCCCAGCGAGGTTTGGAGCAGAGGCCAGGGAAACCCAGGTCTTCCCAGCTGAGACTCCTTCTACCATTTTCCAAAGTCTCCATGAAGGTAAGAAATAGAAAGCAGACACAGCTCCACCATGGCCAGGGCTGCCAGGTGAGCGCCACCACTGCCCGATAGCAGCCACCCCTCCTGTCTGCGCGCCTACCCAGTGGCCCTTACCCACCTAGGACCCCCATGGCCAGGCCTCCCAAGGCGATCCCCATGGCATTGCCTCTCTCTTCGTCATCTGTGTACACACTGGCAAGCATGCCCATCCCTAAATTGAAGACACAGTTAATAGCTAGGCCCTGGGGAGCACCCTCCCTCCCCAGCCAGACTGGTGATCTTCCTGAGTCTGGGACAGCAACTGAGGATGGGACCAAGCAGAACCCAAAAGGAAGGTGGGCAGCTTCTCCAAGAATCCCCACCACCACCACCACCGCCGCCACTACCTTGAACCCTTGAACTAGTCCAGCTAACTGCCCAGAGGGCAATGCTGGGGGTTATAGTTTAGATCTAAACTATCTCTCAAAATCTCATGTGTTCAGGGGTAGGGATTTCAGAAGGTGACTGGGTCATGAGAGCTCTAACTTCAACAGTGGATTAAGACCCTGATGAGACTATAATTTGATGGTGCTGTTGGGGAGTGATCGTAAGAGGCGGTGGGGCCTTGTTAGAGTGGATCATGGCACTGTAAGTTTGAGGTTTTTATCTGCCCCCAGCCCCTTCCTCTCTGGCTCGGCCCCCTCTCTCTGCGTCCTGGCTGCCGTGAGGTGAGCAGCTTTCTTCCACTATGCCCTTCCACCAGGACGTTTCTGCCGCAGCACAGGTTAAAGGCAATGGAACGGCTGCCCATGGACTGAAACCTCTAGAACTGTGACCCAAAATAATCCTTTCCTCCTCTAAGTTGTTTTTCTCAGATATTTTGTCACAGTGAAGGAAAGCCAACCAACACAGCCCCCCAATCTGCCCACACAGGTGTTTCCATACCTACCAGCTACAGATGAGCAGGAAGAGCCGATGCCCTGCAGGGACCTAGCGATTAGCAGGAAGGCATAGCTGCTGGAAAAGGCGAACACTGCCAAAAGAGGAGGCCCCAGCCAGCACATCAGGGCCATGCCCCTGCCAGTGGGATGGCACCATCCCAACAGGGGCATTTCCAAAGCCATCTCTAACCAGGGGAGCATTTCCACATTTACTGCACTATGTTTTTGCTCTACAAAGCCTTTCTCTCCACTCCTTTTTCCAATACACAACCCCTACCTTCACCCCTACCATATTCTGATTCTCAGCTTGAGAACAGCAGAACTCATTCCGACAGCCACACTCAGAAGGCAAACGTGAGGCACTTACTAACTGTTGAAATAAACATGATGCAGAATCCCGCAAACATGGGCATCGGATAGCCGATTCTGCAAAACACAAACAAAAGGAAAACCTGGTGACTGGTGGGTATTTTTTTAAGGCTTCATATTGATTGTCTTTTAGCTACCCTTTGGGATCAGATGGATAAGCGTTTGGTCAACTTTTCTAAAAATTCATATTCTTAGGGCTTCCTACATGACCTTTTTGTGTTTGACTGTCTTGGAACGTGAATACATTTATGGACTGACACTCGGAACAAAAATTTCTCTGGAATAAATATGAACGCAATATTGGCAAGTAACCGAGAACACATCCAAAACACAGGAACAATATTTCCATCAATTTCTGTATTCCTTTAAGTATAGTCTTTGCTAGATCATCCCCAAGGGGACAGTCACAATCAACCGATTCTGTCTGGTAAAACACCATCAAGTGCTTCACTCAGCTGCAGAGACAACCCCTCTGTTATCTAAGAGGCATTAGGAAGCACTGTTTTAAAACCTACCTTCCTGTTGACCTGAGCAAGGCCAGCCGAAGAAGACAGGCCTCATGTTCTATGCAAAAATTCAAAATCCCTATTTCCTGTAAGACCACCCAGGGCTCTGACACCAGGCCAGGGGCCTTCTGGTATCACTTATCTGGCTGGACACACAGCCATGGCCTGAACCCAGGCAAGTCCCCAAGCCCCACCGCCCACCTCCTAGGACCTGAATATAGAGAGCTATGAATCTTAAACCATCTACCAGTGCAGCTGGAGCACAGAAGGTGCTTCGGAAATTTAATTTCCTCCCTCACTCTGCTCCTTCTCTTCCCTCAGTTTTGGTGGGATTAAACAGACAGTTCAGTCCCTGCTATACAGGTGATGTAGGCGGCTTCATTTCCCATTCTGCTCTGATAAAGAGGGGACAAGATGAGCTGAGCAACTGCCTTATTGTAGGCTCGCTCCAACTCAGAGCAGCCAGGAGCATCTCCAGGACTCTTTTCCACTAGCCCTGGACCCCAGAAATCTGGAGAGGGACCAAAGAATCCAAGAAGCCCAAAGAGCCAAGCGTGCTGAGTCTAGGAACTCCTGGAAGGGCTCTTCTATTTAACGCTTTCTTCAGAAGTCACAGTCACAGCACCTTTACCTACAGGTTATACCCAAAGCCCCACGCACTTACACTCACCAGCTCAATGATTTCACACAGGCAATTAGCTCCCTATTTTACAGCTGAGGAAACTGCAGAATGAAAAAGTGACTTGCCAAACTACCCAGATAATTTCACATGGGCCATTCCCTCCAGTCCAGGGTTTCTCCTGGTAAATTGTAATACTTCCGCAGGTTCCCAAAGGGCAGGTGTAGCTTTAAATGGAATCTCTCTGTAAGTCTCCTGACCATATTCATGTATCGTTTGAAAACAATTTGACATGCATTATGAAAACAACTACCAAAAATACAAATTGCACCTGAAATTAATGAAAGATTCTCAGATACTCAGTCCCCCTTTCACAAACCCTGTGACACTGCCATCAGAGAACAGCTGTTCTTGCTTGTCTCAGGCAGCCGAAGGTGACTGTCCGGGGCTCTTTAGTCATGAGGACAAAACGAAGCTCATGCAAGGTCCTACACGGCGCTGCTGGACACTGAATAAGGAAAAGTCCAGGAAGCTCACAAAGAACTTGCAGGCAGCTTACTGTCTACAACCATGGCGCATCTTGTGGAAGAACAGATGCATGCCAATTTTCCCAGCTACACTGGAATAAACATGGGCTTCTCACCTCTTTTAATACGGATTTGGGAAACGTAGTAGCTGGAATGCTAATACAATGGGTAATCTGAAAATAAAATGATAATATAATTTTTTAATGTATTATAGTAAAAGACACATTGTCAAGAATAATGGGATACATGTATTGAAGCGAGGCAGAATGTTTTGAGGGGCCTAATGCAATGTGGCTTTTACTGTAATAAAGTTTTTAAATTTAATCCTTCACTGTATTTTTTGGTCACCTCTCACTGATCAACTGTTTACAGCAATTTCTGTCCGATAAAAACAGTACAATGTCTCCTCATCCACCATTATTCTGACTCTGGCTCAGCACAACTAAAGACACTCCGGAAGGACTTCCAGCACTGCCTCAGGAAGTGGCAAGAATGCAGGGATGAAGGAAGTGTGTTTGAAATGAGGAGGAGTATTTTAAGGGGGATTAATGGCAACGTGTCTTTTACTGTAATAATTTTTTTTTTGGTACCGGGGATTGAACTCGGGGAAAATCCCCAGCCCTACTGTAATAATTTTTAAGTTAAATTTTCACTATATTTGTTATCACTCATATACGTCAAAGCTGATGGGATCGGGGGATTAAACTCTCTTTCTTTGCTTTGGTTGAAAGCTTTAAAAGGGACATCCTTCAGCCACATAAAACATCTGCAGTCCCTCTGCAGACACAGGCAGAAGCATTGAGTGGTTTTGGGACAAAACATGAGAAAACGCAGCAACCCCAGGTGTGGTCCCCAAGCCAGCAGTGACAGTTTGCCAGGTGTGCAGTCTGGCCAGTGGCCAAGTCATTTGTCGATGCACAGTTAGGGTGGGCTGGAAGCCACTGAGGCTCCTTCTTCCCAAGAGACTCTGGCATTCCTGTGACCACAGTCAGGGAGATGGTGTGCAGGTGGCCTGGGATTCATTCCCACTGCAGTTCTGTGCAGAGCTTGGGTGAGGTCTGCTTTTCAGACAACCAATACTGGGCTCAGAGAAGGTAAACCACTTGCCCCAAATTCAGGTGGTGGACGTACTGCAAGTGTGTACTGTGTGCCAGGTCTGGCTGGCACACATTTTGGTGCGAATGCCAGCCCCAAGTGCAGAGGTTCCCCATGGCATGTGGATGAAGGCTTCAGTCTCACTGAAACCTACAGGTTGTGCATTACACAAGGGTTTTTCCACCAATACTTTTTTTTTTAATTCCTTTGGGATTTTAACAAAGCATGTCTGGAATAATCAAATGGCAAAAGCTAGAAGGAAACACAAAGGCTGGCCAGTCCACACCCTCACCTTCCATGAGATAGAGTGGCTCACTGGCAGCTGCAGTACAAGTCAAAAGCTGCAAGCACCTGAGCACGGGTGCTGCCTTCTCATAGCAGGGCACACACATGCCTGAATCCCCAACACTGGCCAACCCACAGGCAAGGATGCCCAGGGGTCAATGCCAGGCAGCATCTTCCCCTGGTGCTCAACCCCAAGGAAAATAAGACATCATGGGTAGCTCCTGGGTCTCCACCCTCAAACTTTTCCTATCTCAGAACGACGGCTGTCTATTGTCCCTGTGTCACTGAGCAATGGGCAAAACGCTGATGCCTTCTCTCCTTGCACAGTTTTTCCAAATGGGCAGAAACTCAGCCGACATTAGTCATAAACTTCTGAATTAATCCTCCTGCCTCAATCCAATGCCATCTCAATTAACGTATTACTTGCAAGCTAGATCTGATTCAGCAAACCTTTATCTACACATCCATTTTCATCTCGTGAGTCATCCAATTGCCCATAGTCATCCTCTACAGAGCAGCAGGGAGCAGTTAATCTAGTTCAAATAAGACTAAAAATCACATAATGAATCCTTAGGAAAACAAGTAAAACAATAAAAGTTGTTCTAAAATTACACCTAGTCAGTGGAGACACCCTTTGTGTCCCTCAATAGTCACTGGTGATTGATAATTATTCTCCAATGTTAGTAAGTAGCTCATCTTTACCACAGAGACTACCCAGACTATTCTTAGCTACAGTTCTCTCTCTACCACGCCAAAAGACAAAAGGAAGGACACAAAGTAGGGCCCAGTAGGGTGCAAACCATCCCCAGAGGCAGGGCCATCTCCCTTTTAGTTATCTCAGCACACTCCTGAAAGTTAGATGAGGAAATGAATGTTTTAGTTACCGAATATTTTAAATTGCTCAGATATAAGAGGAAGCTTGCCAACCATTTAGTAAATGAAACAAAATTCTTAGGTTTAGTCCTTGGGTCCAGTGGTGGATGGTTGTTGTTGGCTGTCAGATGCATACAAGGAGCTGCATGGGTCACAGATGTCTGACTTTCCTGAGTGTGAGCCCCATCAGGACCGGGACACATTTCAGGTGGAGACTTTGCTCCCATGAGAACTGCTCTGATTCTACTGCTGGATTCTCCTGATTTCAGAAAAGAAGACTCCATCATCCCCGCCCCTACCACTCCATCCCTATCACCCCAGCATCGTCTAGGATGGAAGATCCTTTTCCAGAACAGCTGGTTGCCTTGTCCACAGAGAAGCTGAAAAGGTCACTGCTTATTCCTGCAAAGCCTACTTCAGACCAACTGACTGGAGCAAGAGGGAACAAATAATAACCCCAGTAGATTTCAGAGATCTCATGCCCTATGGCTCTTTCCTTGTCATTCAGATGTTAGTTAAGATTTGTGTGTAAAAATAACTGCTTTCAAATATACTAGGTAACTATGGAAATAAATTAAGCCAGTGATGCGGGCTTGATAAAAAGCAGACCACCCAGGCAATGACAAGCTAAAGAGGAAGCTGAGGGAGATGGCCTCCAGCACCAGAGTTAACTCTTTCCCAAGCCAGCTGGTCGGCCTGCAGTATCAACTTTCCATTCTCAAGACACAGCTACTACTTAATCCGTTACACAAAGCAAGTGAAGACCAGGATGCAACATCTTGTAATGAGAGTGTATAGCTCCCTGGTAGAGCAAATGCTCAGCATGCACAAGGCCCTGCGATTCACCTCCAGCACAAAAAGAGAAAGGCGAGGGCCGGGGATTTAGCTCAGTGGTTTCGCTGCCTGCTGCACAGGTGCAAGGACCCGAGTTCAATCCCCAGTACCAGAAAAAAAAAGAGAGAGAGAAAGGAGAGAAAGGTAGAGATATCTGCACCTTGTTTTGCTGCTTAGGCTCTTCCTTTTACGCACATCTATGCCTAAAATTCACTCACTGGACTCAGTTATGACAGGAGTCACTAGTGTAACTCCTGCCACCTCCTGTTACACACACTGAACTTGTGGAATGACCAGTTAAAGTGAATTACAAAAGAAGTCACACCTGCTGCCAAGACGGAAATCAAGTCAACCGAAGCACCCTCAGGCACTGAAAAGTGTGTTATCGGATATGGGACAAATGCACGTACCAAAAGCAAAGGTCCTTCGTCCTTATTCGGTCACATATTTTCAGTGAAAATATAGTACCCTAGCAGTAAATAAAACAAGAATGACTTGCATCAAATTACCAGTCAAATAAACGCTTAAGTGCTTCCCAAGAATTGTTACTTTGTGTTTTCAGGATTTGGATAAGATCTTATCCCAGTAATTAAAACTCTTCTTTGTATCACCTAACAGAAGCCAGTCAGGTATCTTAACCATCAATACAGGGCCTAGGATGGGAACTGTACCATTCCGGGTACCTCATCTAAGAGTGGGTTCCCTTAAATTAATGCAAGGGGCTTTAAAGAAGAGTGGTTCCTACCACCTGACTGGGCGGCTCCCCCATGTGTCTCTGGGGATATATGAGCAGACTAGCTCACATCAGGAGCTGGAAAAAGATCATTATTTTTCTGGGGCCTAGGAAGGTCTAAGTCCCAAAACAGCAGGCTGATTGCTTTCTAAATTATTTGCCCATTAATTAAAACTCACTGTGCCTTTACCTGTTCAGACTGGTGAGACCAGGAAGGGCCCAAGAACATACAAGAATGACAGATTTTTAAAAAAATCTATGTTGTTTATTTTTAGTAGCTAAAAGTACAAACTGTATAATAGCCACAGGGAAAAGAACAGGACAGGGAGGAATGGAGCCTTGGAGCCAGCATGGAGCCTGGACATGGCACTAGCCCTGCTGTGGGGAAATGCTTTCTCCTCCTGCTGCACAACTCCTCTGCCACACAATTCTAGGAGTGACCCAAAAAGTCTGGGTAAAGTCTCTGCGAGCTCTAAGGCTCCGTGTTTTTAACTTCTCTCTAGTCAGGAATACCATGCCTCTTAAGCACACTCATTTACAACACGGAAAAGACTGGGTGATACATGATGTTTTAATCCCTCTTTAATCACAAATATATAAATCATCTTTAAAATGCTGTTTTAAACACATTTGTTTATAATACCAAAAACACAAGTCAACAACCTCTCGTTGGTAATTGAGGATGAGATTGGCATAAATTACGTCAAAATTGGCACAATTACGCCAACTGACTGTTGGTAATGGCTCATGGGGGAAGACTGCACGAACAATGCCCTTGTGCCTTCTCCGCTGGTTTCCATCCGAACCATGGGAGAAGCAGTGTCCTGGAGGGCCTGAGGAGCTGCAGATCCCCAAGTTCATGAATACCGGGCTTGGAAAATACTAGCAAAATTACAAATCATGATCATTTTGAAGGTACCACAGTTCACTCCACTGTTTTGCCTACATCTGTATTAAAATTTGCACTTCCCCATTCCCAGGTAGGGCAGATACTGAAGATCATTTTTAAGCTTGCTGGGTAGCTGGCAAAACCAGGTAGGGGTTAAAATTCTGCTCTAGATAACCCAAAGTGGTTCACTTATCCTAAGAATAGGCTAAATTTCACAAGTCATAAAACAAAATCAGAATTCTCTTGGAAGACAATTTTTCGGAGCCCCAAACATAAGCTCTGGATGGCTGCAACCACACAGATGTAAAATATTTAATAGGGGAAAGGTCTCACTGGTTTTAAACAAGTTTCTTCCCTGTGGCCTAAGCAAAGCATTAAAAACAAGAATGAAATTTTTTTAAAGCTGTTCATTTGCTATTTGCATTTGGAAGACTGGAACCCTCCCATCATTTGGGAGAATTTCTAAGTATTACACACTACAGCTAGTAACATTCCCACCCAAGTGATTGGCAAGGCATTATTACGATAATGTCCTCAATTTTCACATACAGTATCCGAGCCGTTTGCTCTGTCAGAATACAAAACCCTGCACCATTTTCTGTAATTATACCAGATGCATTTTAAGAAGTGCCCTTAGTTTTGAAAAAAGGAAAAAAAAACCAAACCCGCGACTCTGAAGGTCTGGTCTTTTTGTTTGGTCTTTTCCGGGAGAATAGAGGAGCTGCAGCACGTCACCTCCGTAATGGCGTTTCTTGGTGGTCTCACAATCAGCCCTTCGCTGGGTTAATTTGCTTAGTGTATTTTGTGTGGCAGCCATATAATATTGCTATGCACAGACTGGAAGGCTGGGCATGCATGGGAGGGCTAACATACATTCAATGGCAGCACTCGGTCGAGAAAATCAGACTGCAGCAGGAATTCTGCTCCTGTGCACCTCACTGTGAGGGCAGCAGCAGCAACCCCAGGTATGCATCCAAGACAGCCGGTACTGGGGAAGGGGGGAATCTGTCATCCCCTCTAGGAGGCCCTGCCACTACCCCATGCCTCCTCAGCTCACAGACCCTCAACACCAGAGAAGCACAAGGCCCCGCTCTCAGAAAGGCTCTGGCCTTGGCTCAGTGCTCTGCTCCTGCCTTGCTGAAATCCACCCTAACATCTGAACAAGGGGCTCACGTTGGGTCCCACAAATTATGTAGCCGATCCTGATCTACATCTCCTCACCACACTGCTTGGCTCCCCTACTCTTCCATAAGGCTTTGGAATGTCACATGGATCCCAAACGCTGCCCATAACAAAACCCTTTTCTTCTGGCCAAGCCTCCTCCCCAGCCCTGCCCTCCCTCTTCGGTGTACCTTTCCTCCACCACAGCCTCTCCCCCACAGTCTTTGTCCTTCTTACAACTCTGGCCTGGCTAGAAGGCAAGACTGGACACTACCGTCCCTACCATTTTTGTATTTCTACTTGTGGGGCTGCACATTTCACCTAGCAGCCCAATTCTACCAGCTCCCACTCCCTGCAGCTGACACCTTTGGGGACTGCCCAGAAATCTGTGTCCTGTGCTTTGAGCTTTCATGTATCAGGCAGAACCAGCCCATCTCAGCTGTAGAAGAACAAATACTTGATGGATGGTCAGTGTAGTCAACAATTACTCCAAATAATGCAGGTCCAAAATAATCTAGAACACCCATTTAATACTCATAAAGCTAGTTTGGGCAGCTTGGATTCTCTAGAATAGTCTCGATTCTCTTCCCTTCGAGCACATGGACACAGATGACTAACCAGCAGAAGGAAAAGAACATGGCTCAGCACCTCAGCATCAGCTCAGGCTCTCATCTGGGAAGCAGGAGCACCCATCTGCCCCCGACATTCCCACCTGGGCAGCTACTAAATCTTCTGCCATGATAGCCTTAAAAGAAACCACCACAGCATTTCATAAGCAGGTGCACGACCAGAGGAGGAAACAAGAGAAAAGCACATCGGGCATAGAATCTGATGGCGGCCACTGCAAAGTTCTTGCTGCCCCAGAACGATCGTGACAAAAGCACTCATGAAACCCAGTGTTTAGACAGAAGCAAAGGTGTATTCTCTTTATTCTGTCATCTTTCCTATTTTCCTACTTTCTGAGCAACAGGGGAGGATGGAAAGATGGGACAAATGGGAAATTATAGTGAGCTGAGGCATGAGCTGAGAAGACTAGGTTTTCCCCAGCTCACCCATCCGATTCTCCAGATCCTGACAAATGAGTAAGGGGAGCTGCAGGTAGAAATGAGCTGGGGGAATATAAAACCCTCTCCCCCACATCACACAGCCTACCTGTTGGTCAGCAGTCCTATGAAAGGGTTGGTGATGAGCTGGACGGTGGCTTTGGAGGCAAACAGCAGGCCAACCTGCACGTTCTCATTCAGGAGGTCTTTATCTTCACTGGGACAGTCGGAAGGGCCGGCAGACATGTTGGTCACCATGTGCTGTGTGGTGATGGCCTTATGCAGCTGCCCCCCCGAAAGGCCTCCCGTGGTGTTCCCCGTGACCATGGTGGAGTTGTCATAGTAGGAGAAGATACTGTGGAAGCGTCCCGAGGTGGAGGGTGTGAACACTGGCCGGGTGGTCTGGGTCTCAGTAGCATTTCTCTCGTGTTCAATGCTGTACAAGTAACTGGGGATGATGGGAACTGGGCAGAACAGGAAGGGGATGATGACACTGAAACGTTCCTTGAAACAAGAGTCAGCAAAACTAAGGTCACATCAGAAGCCAAAGGAGGCCCAGAGAGGCGGCACATCTCTCCTCGGTGCGGGACACCCGCACTGATGCAAGCTGGGACAATTTCACACTGCTTAGTACACTGGGCAGAACAAACTCCTGAGATTTTTTGTCACTTGTGGGGTTTCTTAACACAGCATTCCTACACAGGAATGAGAGGAACAAAACTCGGTCTACAGTCAAGGCAGTGCTGACCTGGGGTCAACTGCTGCTTCTCAGGGAGGTTCAAAAGACTTCTAACTAAATGAAACAAGGAAATGGAAGTCTCGATTTCATTATGGATCTTAGAAAAGAAAAAAGCAAATCAAACCTGCAGGAAATGATAAATGGGAAACTCTGAAGCAGGCTAACTTCATCTTTCTATTATGTGAGTGGGAATCTGCACTTTTCCATACCACCTGTAAGGTTTAAGAATTCCTCAGATTTCCGTGAAGGAAAAGCAAAACTGTTGAATATAACTGAAGTCTTGGGCACACGAGAAACCACAGGGCATTCAAGACAAAGGGACTGGAGGCCCTTGTTCCTGAGCCAGCATGAGCCTAGCCCTGTGGTCCTGAGCTGAAAACCTGACTCCGATGCTCTGAGAAGCACCCTGAGAACCTGAAACAGGGAGACGGAAGTGTCCCACCACTTAGATCTTAACAAAACATTGTATTTTATTCGTTGAAAATTGGGATTTTTTTTTAAAAGGAAAAACATCCCAAATACTCATCTATTAATGGGGCTAATTAAGAGGCCTGGATCTCAATTATTTAGTTTTTCAAAAATCCATTATAGCAACAATATTACAGTTGTTCTCTCCCAACTTGTCCCTCCCTCCTTCCCTCCTTCCTCCACCTCATACTGGGGATCAAACCCCCGGGGTGTTCTGTCTCTCAGCCAGGTCCTCAACCTCGGTTCATTTTTTAATTTTAAGACAGCGTCTCCCTAAATTGCCAGGTGGGGGTTGAACTTGTGATTCGCCTGCCTCAGCCTCCCGAAGTGCTGGGATTACAGGACTGCGCCGGGGTCCAATCACTCTCACACGGGGTCCTGAGATGTTTGTCTCAAGTCACTGCCGCTTCCTTTTTCAAGCGAGGGATACGACTTGTTCTGCAGCTGTTACACCAACTTCTTAACCCACCTTTTGGGGTGGCATAACGTTTATTCTAAAGCACTTTTTGAACTGAGAATTGTTCCTCTTTAATAGAAATCTTTTTCATCTTGGTAGAAGTGAGCAAAGAGAGGCAGGAAATTATCAGGAGGAAACATAAGTGCTGGGTCTTATCCGAGGTCACCGTTTTTGACCTGACCATCAGGAAAGCGAAGCCACAAGCGCAGCGCCTCCTCCGAGCTCAGCTCGGGAGCGGCGGTTCGGAGAGACGCGGCTTCTGCAGAGTGCGCCTCCGCTTCCCGGGCCGGGCCGGAGCTCCCCGAAGCCCTGGGGTAAGCGGGGCGCCCAGGGAAAGGGGTCCCGGGGAGAGCACGCCCAGATCGTACGTACCCACGACGGTGAGCAGCATGTTGTCCAGCAGCAGCGCGAGGAACACGATGAACAGGATGAGCTTCCGCGAGTGGCGGCTCTCGTGCAGCCGGCGGAGCAGCGCCAGCTCGCCCAGGGCCATGGCTCGGGCTCGGGCGCGGCTGCGGGGCGGCGCGCAGTGAGGGCCGAGGGGCGCCGGGACCCCCGACCCCGAGCAGCTCCCCACCCACAGCGCCCGAGTGGGTCCGGGAGTCGCGGCCGTCGGGGACCCGGCCCGGGACCCCGCCAAGCTGTCCGCTCCCCGCCCGCCCGCCCTGGCCCCGCTGTCCCCCCGCGCCGCGCCCCTCGTGGGCAGGGAGCGGGCGCGCGCACCTCGGGTCTCCTGCGGGTCCTGCCTGCCGGGTCCTGCGCTCGCGCCTCGCCCGGACCGCCGAGGGCTCCGTCGGTCCGCGCGCCCCGCTCGCAGCCTCCGCCCCAGCGCGGCCGCCGCCGCTCAGTTTACCCCGTCCGGCTCTGACGTCACGGGCAGCGCGGGCGGGGGGCGGGAGGCTGGGGAGCCCCGGCCTCCGCCCACCCAGGGGCGTCGCTGGCCCGAGGCCCCCGCCTCCTGTCCCCGCCCAGATCCCGCGCGGACTGTCGTGGCCCCCGCAGGTGCCCGCGCCGGGGCGTCTGGGCTGGGAAAGCGGCGCAGGACGGGGTCCGAGGGTAACGAAGCTGGGGCCAGAGCTTTGTCGTACCCCCAAGGAGGGGCTGGAGCAGCTCTGAGCAAGTTACGTGGTTCTTGGACCCTCAGTGTCCCTCAGCTGTTCCCGGAAAAGGAACATCTAAAGGAAGGCGGCGGGCTGAGCGCCGCGGGAAGGGGCGCGAGGACGCGGGCAGCCGGAACAGGCCTCTCCTGCTGGGGCCGCCCTTTCATCGCACCGTCCCCGGGCTGCTCCCCGGGCTGTGGCCTTGAGCCCTGGGCACCCCCAGGCTGTCGGTGCGCAAATGGGAAAGGGGGGACCGGCCCAGGGTCAGGCCCAGTGGGTGTGAAGGAAGGTGACGGCCCGGCCCTTTGACCCAGGTCTCAGAAAGTGGGAGCCCAGGGGCTTCCGTGCTGGGCAGGTGGAGACAGGTGAGCCCCGGCCGCTTGGTAAAGGCACCCTCTCCACCCTCTGTGCTGTGCCTGTCTAGAGGTCGGTATGACAGACACTGCCAGTGTGTGCCTGGTCCAGCGCCTTCTTACCACAGAGGGGGAAGAGTCCTTTTGGCTTCCAAGTCCCCTTGATAAACATGGGGGAAGCACACAGCCCGCTCCCATCCCCGCCAACGCGCTCAGCCGGAGCCCCGGAGCCCCGGAGACCCTTCTCCCGCACCAGAGGACCGGGCTTCTTTCTTGGAAAGCCACCCCCGGAAGTGAGTACTGGTCGTGTGCCAGCATTACGGATGATGCTGGGGAGACAGTAATGGCTCACACAGGCTGGCCCTCGGGAGCTCCTATCTAGTAGCCACATCACAGTGAGGAATGCAGGAAGCGGCATCATCAGATTCCAGCCCAGCCAGCCCGAGATAGATGGCCCGGGGAGGGTGCCAGTCCCCTGCTCCTGCCTCCTGGTCTCTGCTACCACTCCCAGAGCACCATAGCCTACCACAGGGGCTCCAGACTCTTAGCTAGTACCAAGAGTCCAACCTAGGGCTGCCCTACCACTTTTCATTTTAAGACAGGGTCTTGCCCAGGCTGGCCTCAAAGTCCATCCCCCTGCCTCAGCCTCCTGAGTAGCTGGGATTATAGGATATACCACCACACCTGACTTCAAAGTTTTTTTTACAACCCCCTCAAAATAACTGTTGTTTGTTGAGACAGGGTCTCACTGTGTATCCCAGGCTGGCCTTGAACTTACTATGGAGCCCAGACTGCCCTAGAACTTGCAGTGATCCTCCTGCCTCAGCCTCCTGAGTGCTGTGATTCAGGTGTTCACAGCTAGAATTTTTTTTTAAATGTTTGCCTTACATTTTTAAGTTGGTATCCAAAATGGCTTTTTTAATCATAAATTTAAGTAATTTCGGGTATAAGGTCTTGGAAAAGGCACACTCCTGCTGTCCCTTCTGTCTCCTCCTGATCACTGTAAATTAAACAATTTAAGTAATTTCGGGTATATTGTATGTTAACCTTTACATATAAAGCTATTGTATCTCTTTTTTAAATGTATCTAAGGGAATATAATATGATAAAAATGCAAAACTACCATATTAGGATTAGAAATACACATTTCTCCCTAACAATCAAATTTTACATTGTGTCCTTTACAACTTCGAAGTATATTTCCATTCTACTTTCAAGGGAATTTTATCCTGCTGTAATATTTCTATCATTTAACTTCTTTATTTTTCACCTCATCTATTATGTGAAATGCAACTAGTATATGAATTACTTTTAATTTTTCTTATGACCATAGGGATTCTTTCAATGTCCTTGTGATTGTGTTATTTTAATATTTTTGTGGTATACAAATGGCCAAGACATTTTGCATATAACTTTTTTTTCCAATACTGGGGATAGAACGCAGGGTCTTGACACTGAGCTACACCCCCAGCCCCCCTTTTTTATTTTTCATTTTGTACCAAGGTGTCACTAAGTCACTAGGCTGCCCAGACTGAGCTTGAACTTTGTAGTCTTCCTGCCTCAGCCTCCCAGAGTATAGGATAACAGGCAAGTACCACCATGCCCTTCTTAGGAGTTAGATAATTATTAAACATACAAAGAAGAGGCAGGCCTGCGGACGACCTACCAAGGTCACGAGTTGGGCAGAACACGCGGAATCAGCCCGCGCCTTGGCAGCAATCCACTGGACATAACCCCCGCCCCCCGCCCCGCTCCCCTGTAGAGCCACCTGGTTCCACACTACAAAGACGCAGAGGATACTGGACCACCAGACCACGGTACTGGGTCCTGCCACTCCCGGCCCAGAGGTAGGGGCTTCTGAGCTGCCGTCCCACTACTCCTCATCCAGAGGAAGGGGCTTCCCGGCCACCATCCCTCCCACTGCTCCCAGCCCAGAGGAAGGGGCTTCTGG